TTGAGTCTCAGCTCTGCTTCCTGTCAACGTGTGCCCTGGACGCAGCAGCTGGTGGCTCGAGTGCTTTGATCCCACGTTGAGTTCCTGATTCCTGGCTTTGGCCGGGCCCAACCCCAGCTGCTGCAGGCCTTTGGAGTGTGAACCAGGAATGGACGCTCTCTCTGTGTCTGTCTGTCCTTCTCCCTGACTTTCAAACAAGAAAATAAATGTGTAAATAATAAAGTGTTGATTTATTATTCTGGATTTTGTGGTACGTGTCAGCTTTTTAAATTTGGAATTTGTTGTGATTTATTATTCTAAGTATTCATTTTGTCTCTAATATGGCTTTTGAATTCCATTTCTTGAAAGAAACCATGGCTCCCTCCCCAATGTAGAAACTGGATCTGCCCCTGGCTGGAGAGAGTCCAGTGTAGACCGACCAGATTTAGCAATTACAAATATTGGCAAGTCGTTCATCTTGAATTTCAGCTCAGCCAGGGACAAGGGAAGGTGGGGCGGAAGAGGGAGCGAGCTGGCTGCAGGAGTCGCAATGAGACAAGTGCTGGGGTTCTCGAGGCCAAGAGCCAGGAGGGCGCCTTCCAGGGGGCTCCTCAAGACAGAACAGGTGGCACAGGCACATGAGGTCCCGATGTGAGGGGTCTGGAAGTCCTGGGTAGGGGACTTTGCCTTCACCGAGGCTGCAGGGACCCACACTAAGAATTTAAGCCCGGGAAGCACCAAGACTAGCTGAGCACCTTAGAAAGCTGGTCTGCCAGGGAAGGGTGCCCTGTTGTCCCAGCAGAGGGGTGCAGCGGTGTCGCCTGGTCTCCTTCCTTACCTGTTAACAGCTCCCCAGTACCCCGTCTCCACAGGGCTGCTGTGGTGGAATTGGAACCCCTTGACACACAGCGTCTGCGGCTGTGGGTGGGCAGGCTTTGACTGACAGCCCTGGGGCAAAGAAGGAGGAGACAAGGAAAGCCCAGGTGGATCTGCCCTCGCCCCTCACTAGCACGGGGGCGGACAGCTTGGATTTCCCGAGGTCATCAGCTTCCTCGGTAATGGCAAGTCAGAGCAGCCTGGCCTGGCAGGCGACAGCATCTGTGGGCTCCCCAGAGCTCCAGACTCCCTTCCACATCTGATCCCATGGGGCGAGGGTAGTGAGGGTAGCGGGGTGGGGGGGTGAGAGAGCGCAGAGGTCAGGAGGTAGAGGCTTTGGAACACTTGCACCACTTCTGTGCTGGAAACCCAACCCAAGGAGAAACACTAGGTCTAAACTGACCGGTTCTGGGCTGGATGTTTGGCCGCATGGTCAAGGCACTAGGTCCCCCCCACCCCCGTTGCAGTGCCTGGGTGGGATCCCCAGCTCTGGCTCCTGACTCCGAGTTCCTGCCAGTGTAGACCCTGGGAGGTAGCAATGAAGACTCAAGTGCCTGGGTTACCACCATCTACCTTCGAGACCTGGGGTGAGTTCCTCATTCCTGGCTTTGGTCCAGCCTTGCCCTAATCACTGTGCTCATTTGAAGGGCGAACCAGCAGATAGGAATTTTCTCTCTTTTTAAATAAAATAATATGAAATGATTTGGATTTAAAATAAATGCATAAATACATTTCCCATTTCTGAGAATTTTATCTTTTTTTTTTGGCTTTATTTTCAACCTACATACAATTTTAAACATCCTGACCTAAGTGTATTTATCAAGATACCTAAATATTTCTATTGTTTCGGCTTTTAAGTCCTTATTTGCTTCTCAAAGCGAATATTCATCAGTAACAATTACATTAGTTTCTTTTACAGATTCTTTCTCTGTCATATTTCCTAGTGTGGTAAAGTCCTCCTAGTGATAGATTCTTACCCAGGTGCGACCTAAACGACCCAGATCTGCCGGATTCGCTTCATGCAGACTTTGTGGTAGGGCCCCAGCTTGTTCTACCCAGTGGATCCTCATCCCATAGAGGGCTCTGGGCTCAGCAGCCTCCAGAGTGGGCGATTTTGCCTGGGCTCCCACACTTGCGTTAGGAGTGGGCAGCTGCCATTCTTTCGTGAAGAGGAACTGGTCCGGCCCCACCGGACTTGATGATTCCTGAAGCTGGAGTCAGTGCTGGGTGGGGATGGAGAACGGGAAGGCAGGAGAGACCCGCGATCAGCTCAGCGCAGGCTGCTTCCTCGCCCCTCCCTCCCTCCCTCAGCAAACGGAACACTGAGGTTTCCTGTTCACCAAGCGGGAAAATGATGGCTCCCTGGTTCTGGAAGTCCCAGTTCTCACGTTAGACATAACCCCGTATCTAAGAGCCACGCCAGAGTTTGATTGCAGTTCTGGGGAGATGCACTTACAACTCAATCTCTGTTCTTTTTTTATATGAAGGGTCAGGCACCAAGGCTTGGGATATAGAGAAATCCTTTCTTGCTGTTTCCCCTTCCTCCTGGTGTAGGGGCTCAGGCTTTGCTTAAGAACAAAGGGCATTTTTGAATTGCTTGGTGTGTGCCTGGGTCGGGGCTGAGGGCTCCCAGGGAATCATCTAATCATCATGCCATGCCCACGTGGTGAGTATCCAGTAGGTACCATCTGACCATTTTGCAGGTGAGTGGACAGGTACCGAGCCCACACGCTGCATGAGGAGCTGCGCACATGCCACATGGTCCCTTCTGCAGGCTTCCTGCTGCCACATCTTGCCCTACGGCGAAAGCCAGCTAAGGACGCGCGTCTGAGCACATGGGCTGTGTTGCAATCCTCTCATGATGTGGGCTGGCCTCTGAGCCCGGCGGCTGAGACCATGTTAGGAAAACAGCCCCCATCTCTCACTCAGCACAGACTTGGGGACACGGGGTGGGAAGTGGGGGGACCCCAGAATCAAGAGCAGTTCTTTCCCCTTTCTGCAGAGGGCGTGGAGAGGTGTCTCTTAACCTCTAATGAAGGTCTCTTCTCTCCTAGGTGCATAGGAATAAACCATGCAGATTAAAGGAGTAGTCACTATGTGACAGAGCCATTAGCTCACTCCAACCCTTACAGTTTATTTTACATATTTTGTGGAGCTTCAAAAAAGTCTTTTTTTTTTTTTTTGACAGAGTGGACAGTGAGAGAGAGAGACAGAGAGAAAGGTCTTCCTTTTCCATTGGTTCACCCTCCATTGGCTGCTGCAGCCAGCACACCGCGCTGATCCGAAGCCAGGAGCCAGGTGCTTCTCCTGGTCTCCCATGGGGTGCAGGGCCCAAGCACTTGGGCCATCCTCCACTGCACTCCCTGGCCACAGCAGAGAGCTGGCCTGGAAGAGGAGCAACCAGGAACAGAATCCGGCGCCCCGACTGGGACTAGGGTGCGGGCGCCGCAGGCGGAGGATTAGCCTAGTGAGCCGCAGTGCCGGCCTTCAGAAAGATCTTAAGTAGCTTATCCAGTATCTCAGAAAAGGGATCCAGGGTTTATTTAAAATTTTAAAGACTTATTTATTTACTTATTTGAAAAGAAGAATTAGAGAGAGAGAGAGAGAGATCTTCTATCTGCTGGTTCACTTCCCAGATGGCAACAACAGCCAGGGCTGGACCAAGCAGAAGCCAGAGCCAAGAGCTTCATCCAGGTCTCCCACGTGGGTGGCAGGGGTCCAAGCACTTGGGCTCTTCTTCTGCTGCTTTTCCCAGACCATCAGCAGGGAGCTGGAGTAGAAGTGGAGCAGCTGGGACTCAAACAAGTGGCCCATAAGAGATGCCAGCGTGGCAGATGATGGCTTTATCCACTTCACCACAACGCTGGCCCCAAGAGCTGTGTTTATCCAGGAGGCTGTGTTTGGGGAGGAAGCTGTTCATTTCCTGTCTTTACATTGCCCTAAACCCTGACCCTTGGATTTCGTGGTCAAGTGTGTATAAAAAGCTTAAGCGGCCACTTCAAAACCTGCCTGCTCCTCTTCTGATCCAGTTCCCCCATAGTGCACCTGGGAAAGCAACAGAAGATGGCTCAAATGCTTGGGTCCCTGCCCCTACGTGGGAGACCTGGATAAAGCTCCTGGCTCCTGGCTTCGGCCTGGCTCAGTCCTGCTGTTGCGGCCATTCGGGGAGTGAACCAGCAGATGGAAGATCTCTCTGTGTCGCTCCTCTCTCTGTAACTCTCTGCCTTTCAAATGAATCAATCAATCTTTAAAAAAAAAAAAAAGTTAAATAATGCACCTTCTGGCCCAAGAGCAAGGATTCCAGGTTCTGCTCCCAGCACTGCCGCTGGCTGTCTTCGGCACCTCTACTTTCCAGTCTCGCCTTCTCTCTCTGCACTGATCAAGAGTGGAAGCACTCTGCGGCGCTGGCACCCCGGGTTCTAGTCCTGGTCGGGGTGCCGGGTTCTAGTCCTGGTTGCTCTTCTTCCAGGCCAGCTCTCTGCTGTGGCCTGGGAGGGCAGTGGAGGATGGCCCAAGTGCTTAGGTCCCTGTACCCGCATGGGAGACCGAGAGGAAGTACCTGGCTCCTGGCTTTGGATTGACACAGTGCCGGCCGTAGCGGCCATTAGGGGAGTGAACCAATGGAAGGAAGACCTTTCTCTTGGTCTCTCCCTCTCTCACTGTCTAACTCTGCCTGGCCAAAAAAAAAAAAAAAAAAGAGCGGAAGCACTGCTCAGGGGAGGAGATGGAGGAGAAGCAAAGACATCTTGCATTCAGGAGAGAAGAAAACATTCCCTGTGAAGTGACACAAAATGACGTGTGGAGAGCACCTAGCATGTGCCTGGCACACAGTAGGTGCTTAGTAGCTCTGTGCAGCTTCTGGGAGATGGATTGAGCGGGAGCCAGGGGCACCTGCAGAGTCCCATGGGACTGGTGGCTGGCAGGCAGGGCGTTGCCTTCTGAAGAATGCTTTCATGACTTTGCCTGCAGGGCACGGCTGGTGGCAAGCCACGGCTCTCAGGAAAGTGACCTCACTGGGGTTTCTCTGTGTGGACACAGGCTTGTCAGACAGTCTCATTTGCATGGTGATTTTTTTTATTTTCCCCAGAAACTGCATGCCAGGACCCGGGAGAAAGAGGCATTTCTTAATAACGATTAATCAGCTCCATCACAAAGACGGATGAAAAGAAGACATGAAAACAATTAGGGAAAAGAGGTGCTGAAGAAATGAGGAGAGAAATCACTTCCACCCAGTCGACGCTGACAGCATTTCCGCTGATGCACCTTCATAAAAGTGACCAGCCCTTCCCACATGGGAAAGAGCAGGGCGACAAGACGCGGGAAACAGTTGCCCGGCGCGGCGAGAGCCGAAGCGAGAGCCGAAGCTGATCGTCCACCCCCGAGCGGCTGCGAGTCCTGCTCCCCCGAGGCCGCCTCCTTCACAGGTGCCGGGGGGAGATGGGCAGTTGCGACCATGCTGGGGCACTGGCTGCTTTGTGGAGAGGGGACGGAGACCCTGCACAGGGTGCACCTCCTGGGGCCTGAGCAGACAGCCGGCAGGGAGGGCAGGGCAGGCACCTGACATCTTTCCTATCATGCTTTTGTTCCAGGAACTGCACTGGGCACTTTAATGTGCCACCTTCTTTCTTGCAGTATCAACTATCTCTTTAAATGTAAGGCATGCTGCTGGTTCTGTGGGACCCGATCAGGAGCAGGTGCCTGTCTGACTGGGGGTAAGGGTTGTCAGTGGGGCAAGGCAGCCGAGAAGAGAACGGGCCCCAGGACCCATCTGCCTTCCTTCAAGTCCTGGCTGGCGTAGGGCACCTTCCCGCCTCTGTCTCTGTTCTCTTCTTGTTGAAATGGGACTGGAATGGGGGGCCTGTGAACCCTGGATGAGACACTTGGTAAGATGTTTGGCAGGTGCCTGGCACCGGTGGTATGTCTGGCCCGTGCACCCTCTAACTGGCTCAGGGTGCTGGAGTTGCCTTTAGAGGGGCAGAGCTTTGGGGGTGCCCCACACACGCCCCTGCCAGTGGGGTTTCTGTCCTTGCTTGGCCAGAAAGAGGTTGAGACAATGGAAGAAGGGCCTCCGGTGTGATGGCTGCCTTGTGGCAGACTCCCGGTACACACCTGTGTGCTCACTGGGAAGCAGATCCAGCTAGGGCAGGACGAGGATTCTGTTTCTTTCTAGAGCAGGGGCCCAGGGCCCACGATGGGTCGTGGGGGAGGAGCAGGAACAGCTCTTCAGAGTCACAGCCGCTGTGACTGTGGCCGGGGGTGGGAGGTGGGAGGAGGGCCTGTGCAGCCCCTCAGCTAATTGTGTGAGTGTCCTCCTCTCTTCCATGTCCACACTCACCATCCTGACCCCAGCACACACGGCTGCAAGCATGGAGAGTGCCGGGCAGGGGCTGGTCTCGTCACGTGTGTGGACATCAGACCCACCTTGAAGGCTGGGCTCTGCCTGTGGCACTTGTGCCACCCGGAGGGTGGAAGGAAGGTCAGAGAAAGAGAACACAGCGAGCTGTGCCACGGTGGATTATGCACTTTTCTCTGCGCATCGTAGGATGCGATTTAGGGTGGGTAAGGGAAGACGCAGTGGGACAGAGGCAAGGAAGGCGAGAGGGTTAGAAGAGGCAACTGCTCTGCCTAGGAATGAGCTGGCTGCAGACGCGTCCCTGTCATTCGCTGGCTCCAGGAGGAACAGACGAGAAGCCTCCAGCTAGGACTCCCGGGGGGCTTGCGCTCCCTAGCTCCTCACCGGGAGTTAGGAGGAGGGGGCATCATTTTGCAGGAGGTGAAATCTGCAGAGCTGGCACAGCACTGACTTTAAGCAGAGGCACATTAGGAGATTATATAAGAAAAGGGTGTCTTCTATTTTGGGGGCAAACATTAAAAACCAAATGTGCTTTCATGGTTTTTCAGATCTGTTGCCTAATTCCTAGGGCATTTTTCCGATTTGACTTATTAAAAACAATGCTCTTCACTCCTGTTGACAAAGTGAGCTGTGTTGAGTCATAGAAGAGTGATATACACACAGATCTCCACGCTGGGACCCAAGAGAGAGCTGCATCGTGCCCTGGGGGGGGGCAGTTGAGGAGGGAGTGGGGGTGTGTGGGGAGGAGAGGGCTCATATTTGATTGACTCACGGAAGAAGGAGGAGACACACACCCCTGAGACTCCACTGGCTGAGGTCTTGAGTCTTGTTCTCTCTTGGCCTGCCCTGCCTGGTCCCCAGGGGGTGTGGGTCAGGAGTCTTCTCTTCATCACTCTCTACGCAGGCTGGGCAGCTGACGTGCACCCCTGTGTGCAGGATATGAAGGTGCAGGGTGTCCCCCTCTGGCTCCTGGGCATCACGTTTGTCCTGTGCTCAGGGCACCTCCGTGGTCTCAGGAGATGTCCGATCTCCATGGACATGCGCCACCTGCAAGAGAGTTTCCAAGACATCCAAAGAGCCATAGTGAGTACGGGCCGGGGTGAGGGCTGGGCCGGGGGCGTGCTACCTTGAAGGGCAGGGTCCTGCTCTGAACACGGGCGTGCTCAGCACTTGCGTCTGCTCTTGTTTCCCTCCACAGCAAGCCAATGACACCTTCCAAAACATCACCATCCTGTCTGCACTGGACAGCCTGCAGGGCATTAAGGTACTGGCCTGTGTCTGCTCTTTGCTGCATGCTCATCTTCATGGTCAAAGGGCCCCTTGGCTGAAAAAGAAGTCCCCACTCTGTCCCCTTCTCACCCCTATTCTCCAGGCTGTCCTCTGTGCACAGGCGTCTTATGTGCAGGGTAGGAGTTGGGGAATACTGTGGTCCCTGGCAGTCTGAGCAGTGCCACTGCCCTTGAGCTCACGGAAATGCCGGTGCTCCGAGGGCACAGGATGTGGTGGCTTGGGAGTGGTTTTTGAAAGAAGGGGGAGCTGAGAAAATGAACCGTGACTTAAAAGCTAAGGACAGTCTAGATTAGTGGATTGGCACGGGGCATGGGTGTAAAGTCAGTGAGGGCAAAACCTGCACCAGGGACAGTGAGGTGGCAGGTTTGTGATACACAGAGCGTCGAGGGGAGTGGTAAGGACCGAGGAAGAGAAATCTCCTGGAGGCAAGGGATTTGAAAAGCAGGCTGAGCTCTAGTCCTGTAATCAAGGCAATGGTTGCTTGGTATTTTTGAGCCCAAAACTCTATGGCCACAACATGTTTTAGAAAGACTGCCTGGTGAGGTTGCCAGGGAGGACTCCGGTGCAGCTGTCCAGGCAAGCGGTGCTGAGTGTACTGTACCTTGCCGGGGATAATTCACTCTACAAAAGGGGCCATGAGTGGTGCTTTCATTTATTTTTATTTTATTAGCAACAAAGAGAGGGAGAAGGAGTGAGAGGGGGAGATCTTTCATCTGCTGATTCACTCCCCAAATGTCCATAACAACCAGGGCTAGTCTGGGCTGAAGCCAGGAGCCCAGAACTCATTCTGGATCTCCCATGTGGGTGGCAGGGACCCAGGCACTTGAGCCGTCACCCACTGCCTCCCAGGTGCACTAGCAGGGAGCTAGATTGGAAGTGGAATAACCAGGATTCAAACTGGCACTCCAATATGGGGTGCCTGTGTCCCAAGTGATGATTTAACTCACTGCACCACAACACCTACCCCAAGAGTGAGCTCCTCCAGTCCTTGAGAACATTCTAGAAAGATCTGGCTTTTCAGGAATTTATGTGACAGAGTGCAAGGTCTCTGTAATGAGCGATTTCCTCACCGTCTCCACATAGGTCAGGGAGACCTCCATAATTCTTCCAGGCAGTGACTCATTTGTGGAGGGTAGATGTACCTACTTAGTAAATCATATTCTAACCAACTGCATAAGAGACTCCTTAGACGGCATGGCTGGGAGGAACGCCATCTATTCTTAGGCCAACACTTTCAGATAAGGACACTGAGCCCTTGGGAGGGAGAAGGACTCGCTGGTGGCTAAGCCAGCTGTGGAGCCCCATGCATGCGCCTCCATCTCCAGCTTCCTTCTCCTGGATCCCGGAGCTCTGGAGCAAGGAAAGGAGCTAACGGGGATTCAGATCTTCATCATCATCCCTCTCTCCCTCCTGCCCTTCCTCCCTTCCTGTTTTCTACCCTGTTCCTATTTGTAGAGCCACAGAGTTTGGTATCTCAGAGGCGGGTTAAGGGAACCAGCAGCGGCAGAGGAGGAGATGGGTTTTGTGTTGCGAATAGAGTTTGAGGCCATCTAGGAACAGCTGTCTTGGGGCCAAAGCGATGGTGCTCCTTTACCACTAATGATGATGGATGCCCTGTCCCGTCCCTGAACCACTCCCTACTTAGGCTGAACGGTAAATCTTCTGCGGCATCATTCACCGGCTCTCTCTGCAGTGCAAACTATCAGAGAGAAACTGTGTAGCCAGCTTGTCTGGGTGGTGCCTTCTCAGTTCTGCACCCTGCAGGCAGTGTACCTCCCCTCTCCCCGGATGTACCCATCCTGGCAGGTGTCAGTCTGCTCTCTTGGAAATTTCAGCCCATTCTAGTCATCTGTGGAGTCTAAAAAGGCCACATGGGAAGGGAATCCAGTGGGGGGCACTGAGGCAGGCTCGCTGTCCTCATGGTGGGAGGAGGGACTGTTGGGCGCCTGGCATGCCACAATCATGGAGTGGAGGTGGCCTCGAGGCACCACAGAGAAGCCGGCTTCAGCTTCTGGATGTAGGAGAGTGTTTTCCAAGAAAGCTGCTTGGCCATCAGCCCTCCGCAGAGGGAGACGCCCGGTTCCTGGAAGGACGTGAGCAGAAGTCGGGGACGCTGTGCTGTAGCTGCTGGATGGAGAATTCTGGTCCCCGACTGGCTTCCAGCCACGTTCTTTGTTAGCCTATCTCTTGGCCATATGGCAAGAGGCGGGTAAACTGGGATCTCTGCTCATTGCTTGTGTCCTGGGCGGCTTTGATGTGGCGAGAGGAGAGGAACACTCTGAGACCGTTAGGAATTTTGAAAAATGACTTTCAGTTCTCTGCCTTCTTGCCGCCCCCACTGAGCTCTCCCAGGTCTGTCAGATGGAAGAACTGGGGGCCTGTGCGGCTTCTCTGCTTTGTGTCTGCAGCCGTTAGATGTGTGCTGCGTGACCAGGAGCCTCCTGGCGTTCTACATGGACAGGGTGTTCAAGGACCACCAGGAGCCGGACCCGCACATCTTGAGGCGAATCAGCAGCATTGCCAACTCCTTCCTCTACATGCAGAAGACCGTGCAGCAGTGTGTGAGTCACAGTGTCAGGATCCCAAGCATCTGCTTGGCGTCTGCCCCGGGAGGGCCCAGGATGCGCTGGCCCCAGCTGGAGGCTAAGGAAATCCCCTGCCCCGTCACTGGCAGGCAGGCGGCCTCTTCCAGGGGTCACTCTTCTCCCAGGGCCCCCTGATGGCCCATCAGACCTCCTGGGGGGACTGGCTCATGTCCAGTGTTCCTGAAGTGGCCCCTCCAGGCCTGGGAGAGAGATGTGTCCTGGAACCCAGTCTCACCAGTTGTTTCTGGCCTTTTGTTTCCAAACCACGTCTAGTCTCTTGGTTTAGCCTAGCCCTAAGGGTCACCCATGAATCCACTACGAGCTATTAAAATCCAGCATTGGAAAGGAAAACGAAATAAACAAAAACTTGGAGCACAAGTCCTAGCTCCATTCCTGCAGATGATTTCCTATGTGACTGTGTGGGAAGGACTTCATCTCTCTGGGGCTCAGAGTCTCAAATTGTTATAGGCCCCTGTCCTACTTGCATTAGCATGACCATGAACTTCAATGGATTCATATAGCCAATTATTTAATTCATTATCTCAGTAAATTTTTTTGCTGAGTGCCTACCTTGTGGGATGTTGCATTCAGAGAGTGCAAGATAGAGGTGGTGTCTGCTGTCCCGGTGCTAACAGACTCGGGGGTGTAGATCCAGAAAAAGCAAAAGCCAATGGTCCCAAGCAGGCAGAGTCTACACACTGGCTGCACTCCCCGCTGGCCACCCTACCTGAGTTTACTCCCCTGGCTCTCACCCTGGGAGGGGGAGAAGTGGTACAGCTCACATGGGGGAGATGGCGGGCGGAAAGGTCCTCTGATGGGTGCTGCCCCTCCTCCATCACAGCAGGTGCAGGGACGGTGTCACTGCAGGGAGGAAGCCACCAACGTGACCCAAATCATTCACAACAACTATAATCAGGTAAGGTCATGAGGAAGGTGGGAACTGAGAGTAGAAGCTTGATCGAGAGGGCAGCAGCCCTGCAGCCTCCTCTGGACTCAAATTCATTCGTTTGCTAAACAAGTTTCAAGGGAGGACCTTGCTGCTTGAGTGTGAGTGCAAAGGGCTCGTTGGTCTTACTGAACTGGCTACTTCCCTGGGCTCCTCTCCTTCATCATTCCTCCACTAAGAGAGGGAGAGAGAGAGGGCTCCCACCTACTAGTTCACTCTCCCAATGCCTGCAGTGGCCAGGGCTGGGCCAAATGGAAGCCAGGAGCTGGCAACTCCATTCAGGTCTCTTGTGTGAGTGGTAGGAACCCAGTTATTTGAGTCAGTGCCTGCTGCTTCCCGGGATCTGTGTTGGCAGGAAGCCAGAGTCCGGAGCTGTAGCTGGGAACCGAACCCAGGTACACTGATGTAGGCTGTAGCTTAACCAGCATCTAAACTGCTAGGCTGAATGCCCACCCTGCACACCACAGCCTCACATAGCAGCCCTGACCTGTGTTATAACTTGCGGAAAGTGCACGCTGCTTAAGGTGGAGATGATGCAGAGGGAGCAAAGAGCAGCAGGAATCCCAGGCTGCTACGCTCAAGGTGTGGGTCCGGGAGGTGCCCCTGTGGTCTGCACCTGCCGTCAGGTCCCGGCCCGCGTGCTGCAGACACAGCGCTTCTCCTGTGGATGGCAGTGCAGAAGCAGTGTGTCTCCTGCGGCGTCTGCAGATCTTGCTACAGTGCAGATCTCTGGCTTGGTAGCTCAGTACTGAGGCCCGAGTTCTCTCCCAAATGAGCCAATGCTCGGATGTGGAAGGGGGTAGGGGTGCTTGTGCAGGGCTCTGTTTCTTTGTGGGGAGGTTGGGATATTGTTATGGCAACAGCAAAAAGTTGCTAGCTGTCCCTGTAGGCCAGGTGCTGCTCTCAACACTCTACAAGCATTCACACTTACTCTTCACGGCAAGGCGGTGAGTCATTGCCTGCATTGGATAAGTTAGGAAACGAGGCACAAGTCGGGTGAGCAAACTAAGTTCATACTGCACCTGAATGGTGAACACAGGGTTTGCTCCCACGCTGGCTGGCTCCACAAGCTGTGCCTGAAGAGCCCACTGCCTCCTTCCGGTCTGCAGAGGAAGGCGGTGGAGTACGCTAGGACACTGCGGTTCCAGTTCCAGCTCCGGGGTTCTCCTGCAGGGTGAGCTCGGACAGGACACTCGCCCTCAGGCCCTGGTGCTTTACTGTATCAGATGGGGACCCCAGACTGTCCCAGCACCATGGGGATTAAGACTTTCTGGGGGCCGGCGCCGTGGCTCAATAGGCCAATCCTCCACCTAGCGGCGCCGGCACACTGGGTTCTAGTCCCGGTCGGGGCGCCGGATTCTTTCCCGGTTGCCCCTCTTCCAGTCCAGCTCTCTGCTGTGGCCCGGGAGTGCAGTGGAGGATGACCCAAGTGCTTGGGCCCTGCACCCGCATGGGAGACCAGGAGAAGCACCTGGCTCCTGGCTTCGGATCAGCGCACCGGCAGTGGCGGCCATTGGAGGGTGAACAAACGGCAAAAGGAAGACCTTTCTCTCTGTCTCTCTCTCTCACTGTCCACTCTGCCTGTCAAAAAAAAAAAAAAAAAAAAAAAAAAGACTTTCTGGGACAAGAGAAGCCAATGTGAGAAAGAAGACAAGCCAATGACTGGCCAGCAAAGAAGTTAATTTTTATTAGAAGAAGCCAACATGATTTGTGCACAAAAATTGGCGTTGCCTATAGGATGATGCTATGCAAATACATTGGATGATGAACTACGGGGCGAGTGGTTTGAGAAGGGGTGCAGGGTCTGGGGAGGCATGGGCTGACTGTGGCTTCCTTGGTTTCAGTTGGAGGCCCGCGTGGCTGCCGTCAAGTCCTTGGGAGAGCTCAATGTCTTTCTGGCCTGGATCAGCGAGAATTACCAAGACGGCTCTGCTGCCTGACACCAGGAGCCAGCTTAATCACCCAGGCCAGAACACCCCCGTGAGGCTTCCTGGGGGACACAGCTGACTTTGAAGGGGGAGGGACACGGGAAAAACCCCTGTGTGTCTCCTGGTGTTGACCTCCTGTGGACTTGGTGCGCTCATCTCTGCCGCTTGGAAGCTGTAGGGGAAAATCTGGGTCTGGGCAGATCTCGCTCTGCAGCTGAAAGCCCTCCTGGCTGGTCCCAGCCTGCCTGATCCCCGTTGAGACCGGCCAAATGGTCTGGTGTGGTGAGCCGGCCTGGGAGGGAAAGGTCCGCTGGCCCATAATTTATTGTGAGGTTGTTTATCCCATGTCTGCGATGTGGGCTGCGCGCTCTCCTGCAACGCACCTTGTCCTGATTGGAATAAACTCTGTGCTTTGCCTGTGAGTGGGAGTGTCTTCTGACCCAGGGCGATTCGGTCAAGGAATCCTAAATGCAGCCTATCAGACACGAAAGAACACAGGCAGAGGGGGAGACTGAGGCCCCAGAGCTGGTTCCTGCAGCAAAGGCTCTAAGCTCAGTGTCTTTGTCTGTTTCCATCTCCAGGACAAAGTCCCTGAGGCCGGGTGACTTCAGAAAGAGAAGAGGCTTATTTAGCTCACAGTTCTGGAGGTTTAAGGGCTCGGCACCTGCACTGGCTCCGGCTCTGGCTCGTGGTGGGGGGAGTCACACCCAGATCACACAGTAGATGGCTTCACCATGGCAGAAGCTCCTGGTGGGGGAAGAGATCGGATCTCCAGACAGGAAGCCAGATAGCGATTTGGAAAAGCAGCTCACTTTCTTGAGAATTAACTTGGGGTCCCAGGACTTTCCACTCAGCTCCCCCTCCTACGGGTCCCTCCACCTGTTACACGGCCACACTCAGGACCACGCAGCCATCATGTGAGCCCTTGCGGGAGAACACTCTAGACCAGACCCACACTGTGGCACTAGGTCTTCAGGTTCTCTTCCCAGCACCACCTGAGCGTCAGGAAGCCAGGACAGAAGGCTTCTGGCCACTGCTCCTCCTCCACAGCACCCCACGGCTGATGTCTTTCTTCTCTTTCCACTTCTCTGATTTTCTCTGTATTTGTCCATCTCTGTTATCTCTTTCTTACTGTTCCCAGCCTAGCTATGTCTCCCCAACCCTAATCCATCCACCACGAGTGCATGCCTGTTTCTGAAAGAGGGCAAGTTGTCATGGTGATGAGGCTTTAACAAGGGCAGCCCACAGGCACGGGGAACCCTGGGAAGAGGCCCAGGGCCCAGGCTCCTGTGGACACAGCCAGATGTCTAGATGGACACCCCGTAGACGATACAGGGCACAAACACTGAGCTTGAATCTTGAACAACTGATGTTTGCTGAGTACCTGCCAGGTACTGGGTGTGGAGGAAGCACTTACCCCGCCACGTCCTGGGCGGGTATCTGTACCGTAACTGGCTGGAAGCAGCGACCGGAGAAAGAGGGTGCACGGTCATGCCTTCGAGGGCGGAACAAGATCTCCGGAGACACAGCCGAGCTGCTTCCGATCCTACAGGGCTTGGAGCAAGGTCTTACCGTCTCTAAGTCTCAGTGTCTCCTCCGTAAATGGAGATATCAGTGGCAGTCTCCAAGGGTTGCTGTGAGCCGAGTGCGGTAGAGCGCCTCCAGGAACCTCGGTGCAGTGGGGGGCTACACGGAGCAGGGCAAAGGTCACTGAGGCAGGAGCCACGCTCTGCGCCTAGGGCTCCTCCTGCCTTGAATTGCTCAGGGCAGCCACGGAGCCTCTTGGGTCTTAGCTGTTGTCAGGTGGGTCCTGACTGCCCTGGACTCTACTCGTGTTGATGACGTCACAGGCAGAGCCACGGTACCTGCACACATGCCTCTCCCCAGCTCCCCTACTGCTTGCCCAGGCTCACCTCAACTCCACCAGGCAGCGCTTCTGCAGACAACACCAGGCATGGCCTCACCTTAGAACCTGTGCACTTTGCACATTTGTAAACTGAGGTCGAGTTTAAAAAAAAAAAAAATTCACACATTGTGCTTGACTGGGATTAGTGAGCTATTAGGGCGGGAGTAAGGTGGTTTGTGGAGGACCTGACCTTTCCAAGGTGACCTTGGGTGGACCTCCGTGCTGAGCAGGCTGCAGGATGGCAGGGATTTCTGCTCTTTTGCGGCTGCACTGGGACGCCCGCGTAATGAGATGTACTTAGAAGATGGAGTGTCTCTCCCAGTGACGGCCGCAGCGCTGGGGGAGGAGTAGGACGAGACGCTGAAGGGGGAGAGCTCTCCGTTCTGAACTCAGCTCCGTCCAGCTCCGTCTCTGCTTGCTTTGCTTGTCCGCCTGTCCTTTCTCTCCTTTCAGACTTGAAGGCTGTGTGCCGACTCCTTTTCCCCCCACAGTGGATCGGGCATCGGGTTGCGTTTTTTCCCTTCACAGAGCTGGTGCTTAAGAAATACTTGCTAAGGACCCGGATATAACATCTGCCTCCAGATGTTACCTTCCAAGTCCTTAATTGAGCCCTGGAAGGTGCCCCTGAGCACCCCAGGGCGCCCCTTCAATTGCTCAGGCACAGGGGAGGGAGCTCCCTTCACATGCTGGGGCCAAGCCAGGCACTGTACATTTGGGATCTCATCCAAGCCTCCGCCTCGGGGGCCCAGGGATTGGGAGGTTTTGTCCCTCCATGGTCAGGGAAAGTATCTGATGCTCCCAGAAGTGGGGGTGGGGAAGTGGGGGCGGGGGCCTTGCCCAAGGCCCTGCAGCTAAGGGATGGCAGAACCCAGAAAGCAAACCCAGGCCTCATTTCCTGGAATCGGTGCTCCCTGCCTCTGGGGAGAAGTTATTTTGCTTTGTCCAAGGCTGATTGGAGCAGGAGTCATGTAGACAAGGCCTTTGAGTAGGAAGTAGTCTTTTATCATTTTTAAAAGATTTATTTTACTTATTTGAAAGACAGAGTTACAGAGAGAGGTAGAGACAGAGAGGTCTTCCATCTGCTGGTTCACTCCCCAAATGGCCACAACAACTGGAGCTGAGCCGATCAGAAGCCAGGAGCCAGGAACCTCCTCTGGGTCTCCCATGTGGGTGCAGGGACCCAAGGACTTGGGCCATCTTCCACTGCCCTCTCAGGCCACAGCAGAGAGCTGGATTGGAAATGGAGCAGCAGGGACTCAAACTGGTGCTCACTCGGGATGCCGGCTCTGCAGGCGGCAACTTTACCCGCTACACCACAGCACCAGCCCCCTGCTTGGATATTCTAATGGTGGCCACAGGAATGGATACAATACTGCACATGTGTACACAGTTACTGATAATTTTTTCCACACACATGCAGAGCTGTAAGCTGTCTGCCAAAGGTTAACACCATTGCTTTGTACTCGCAAGCAGAACCTGGACCTGGTTACATATAAGCAGAGAGTAACTACACAATGAATGACACAATGAGGCATTCATAGGCAAGCAGGTACCAGATGCCTCTCTCTCTTTTCTTCTGACCTTGGGAAGGCTTCTGCCACAACTTGCATCATGCCAGTTAGAAACAGGATGAATTAAAAGACAAGGGCCTCTGGCGCATTATAATAACCTAGTGCCCAGGGCCTTACCAGGGCCAGCAATGCATGTATTAAATCCAGCGGGCCTGGACTTACCCCAGCCAGTGTCTGGAGTTGTGGACTGAAGCCGGGTGAATGATCAGAGGCCGGTTTCTGAATGTGTCGCAATGGCCCGGGGCCGCTGGCAGTCTGGACTCCTCCTGTGGCGGGGCATGGAATCCTGTCATCCTCCAGGGAGCATTGCTGACGGCCATGCGCACTCAGGGCAGCTGTGGAGTCGAGGCCAAGTGAGCAAGAGGCTAGGCTTTTGTGTCAAATGTTGGCCCTGCCACTTGCTGTGTGACCTTGGGCAGTCTCCTAGGGCTGAGCCTCAGTTTCCTGTTTGTATAATAAAGGAGACACCTGCTGCCTTGTGGATTCAAGATCCCCGTTCTGCAGGGGATCCCCAGGGATGGAACAGGAGCTCCCTTCAGATAACCGTGGTGACTATTTGATGCGACTCGACTTTTCAGATCTTATTTCCTATGAAATGTGGCTGTTTGAGAACATCTTTAAAATTAGCTAGGGAGACAAGGCGAGAGGCAGTGGCCCAGGGGTGGCACCCCCGACACAGAGCCCCTGCAGTGGGAGCTGGCAGAGCTGCACTCCTGGCCGGGCTCCAGACAGCCTTCCTGGTTCTCCCTGTTGCTGGGGCATCGCCCCTGCAGCTGGGCAGTGCTCACCCACTGCCGACTCTTCCTGTGTCTCTATCAGAGAAACACGCACTGTCACACCAGCACCACATTGCATGCCGCCCCTTGGTGTCCCCTGCAGCCGTGAGCCAGTGCCTGCCTGGGGGTGGCAGAGCGAAGGCTCCACTCCTGGAGGTGGGTTCACAGCAGGGCTCAGCGCTGCAGGTTTGGTGACGGAGCTTTCTGGGGGGAGGTAAGGGACGGGGAGATACATTCTCAGAAGATCGCTGAGAACCCCAAAGCATTGTAGAGAGGGTCTGTAGGCCACGGCCTGTCGTTGAAACACACTCAGCCCAGCCTCGCCTCTGCTGCAGGACTACCATGGGAAGATGTGCGTGCTGTACAGAGGCCTCTCTGCGCAGGTGCGAAGCTGGCTGCCGGCACCTGATCCCCGGAAGGGCCGTTCCGGGGCCTGGGAGAGGGCTCAGGGTGCAGCTGGCACACCAGGAGCTCAGTTTGGTTCCTGTGCCCCAGTCTGGATGCCTCCATCTGGTCACCTTCCTGGACACGGGAAAAGAGTCTGTGCCTCAGTTTCCTTATTTGAACGATGAAGAGAATAACCGTGCTTGCCTGATGAGGTTGCAGGCAGATAAAAGGAATTAATAATTTAAGAATTACCCACCACCTGGCACCCAGTAAGTGCTACAAAGCTGCAACAGTCAGACAGTGGTCACCTTCTGGTGCACCGTGGCTCTGTGCGCAGCCAGTGGTTGGCTCCCTGAGAACCAGGACCTGCTCCCAGGGCAGAGGACAATCTTCTTCCTTTTCCTCTTCACCTCTCTTCCCCATCTTTGCTCCTTGGGATTCTCAGTGGCCTTTTTGTTCTTGACAAGCCGGAGATAGCTCAGCATCTGTCTCTGCAGAATCCAAGTCCCTGGGCGCACTGCTAATCTGTGAACAGCAGAACCCAGTAAGTAAATGCCCATTGAGTGCACGCATGCCTGACGCAGACAACCCCAGCTGTGCAGGCCAGGCCCTCTTGGAGGAAGCCGCAAGAGGAAGCCTGTGGCTTTGTCTCTCGGCTTTGGGACTCTCTCCGGCTTCCTCTTATCCTTCTATCCACTTCGAACCTGTACTTGTTCCATTTCCATAGCCCAGAGCAAAGAATCCATCTCCCCTGTGCCTGGCCTGCTCGGCTTGG